GATTAAAATAAAAATAGTCTCTGAGTGGGATAAATGACTTGGCGAGTGATAAAATCGAGAGAGATGTATATGCAGTCCATGACAGCGATATAATGATCCGTTTCCATGGTATGAAAACTAAGTGATAAGCAATTTTGAATGATGGGTAATGTTTTATAATCCAGGGGATAATCTGCATTCTAATATTGAGAAGAGTAGTAAATAAAAAATCCTTGAATTTCCCAATGTTCGAGTGATTAAAAGTTGTCTGGTTAATACTATTTAACAACACCGTAGATTGCACCGTAAACGATTGTCTGTAATCCTCAGTACGGAACAATGGACACAAGAGATACTGGGGTGAAAACCGAGAAGATCTCCTCAACTCTGTGTGCTCCGCTGTGACAATATATTTAGCAGGAAAGATAAGATGGTTGGTTATGAGTGAGTATTGAGAATGATAGGGTACCTAGGAAGTAAGCCTAGGTAATGATAACCAACCCAGTGCAACCCTAGAGGGGGTGACTCTAGCCTGCCACGCAATATTGCCAAAAACAAAACGTACACATGCATTCAACGATGTATGGAGTCGTAGATTAGATGTTGCATCAATACTATGATACGCGACAGACATGTAATCAAATAACGGAAAAATCAGGCTTTCCACTAATTGTTTCCTAGTTATGAAGGACAAAGCATGTTTGCAGTGCTTGAGACTATACAGTGCACGATATACTCTATTGGCAACATAAATCGCGTGTTTGCCCCAATGTAAGGTAGGCGTTAGCCAAAGGCCCAGGTCCTTCACCTCAGTAACGTATCGCAGTCTAACACTATTGATGATTACAGGCGGCGCGGCAGCGAGATCAAGACGATTAATAAACCCTACACTTCCAAGGATCATTGGTATTGTTTTCAACTGCTTACGTTGGCTCTCGAATGATCATCGACGACCGCACACGCGGACCCGTTCGCAGATAACGTAACATTACACCGTGTCTTTGAGTCGTGCACTGGCGTACCTGATCGATGTTTAAAAGCTCCTCCCGGGCACCCTCGACCCATCAGGATGAAACGAAAAAAGTCGCGCGTCACGACTAACCGTACTAACGAGCAATTTTGGTTTCTAGGTCTCTATGTACCCGTGCAACCGTGACAGTATATACACCTACACACAGCCACGGCATAGGTGACGGCCGCTGGAGCCAAAAGAGCCATTGTGCGCCATCGGTGCAGCGCGATCAGATTTAATGATAACACCACATAATTAGGCTCCACCGCTAACTCCCCTCTACCAATCAGGAGAGCCCGCGTCCGCCACCTGACTCCACGTCCATGCATACACATATATACGTATATTATACCTACACGCCAGCAGCTGGCTCTTGTGTGCTCGGACGGGCATTATCAGGTCTGGTAATTACCGGACGAAATTACCTATTCTCTCTACAAATATCGTACGGCCTCCCCCCCCCCTGCTCTTATCATGAGCCAAGCACGAATCCGTGTATATATATACCTACACGCGCATGGACGAGCTCCGTTGTCCGAGGCGTATGCTCGTACCGTTACTTATAACCGCTCGACCTGGACGACTACTGCTTATGCCGCCACTGACTCGGTACACCCATACAAGTACACATGTACATATATATATATATACAAGCTCAAAGTG